TGGGCACATTTAACATTGAACTTCCTGGAGAGCTATGATAGTTTCCAGTTGGCTCTTTTTAAACTATATATATATACATATATATATATATATATATATATATATATATATATATATATATATATTGATTCAGAGAGGAAGGGAGAGGGAGTGAGAGATAGAAACATTAATGATGAGACAGAATCATTGATCGGCTGCCTCCTGCATGCCCCCTACTGGAGATTGAACCCACAACCCAGGCATATGCCCTTGACCAGAATCAAACCTGGGAACCTTCAGTCCACAGGCCGACATTCTATCCACTGAGCCAAACTGGCTAGGGCTTCAGTAGGCTCTTGATCCTCTTGGCTCAGTCCCCTATTAAGATAATCAGCTTAAGTTCTGGAATGCCTCTGCCTAAATATACCTTGGTGACTCTCTGTAGGCAGGAGGAAGAGCGCAGGCGCCGTGAGGAAGAGATGAGGCGACAGCAGGAAGAAATGATGCGGCGACAGCAGGAAGGATTCAAGGGAACCTTCCCTGATGCGGTATATCTCCTTTGTGCCCATGATGTACCAGTCCAGTCGTGATATGACAAACCCACCATGAATTGTCTGCCCACTAGGACTATACAACATACCAGGTTATGATCAATTTTTCCATTCTGTGAAACTCCTTTTAGAAATAATTCATAGGAAGGAAAGGTAAGGTTTGAAGGAGAGCTCTTTTTGCCCCATGGGCTATTTAGGATGAAAAGCTGGGACCAGTATATGCTATTCAGACTCAGTGACTGCAGTATAAGATATATCCAATTCCGTAGCACCCTTGACTAGTGACTAGTCCATTGCTGTCCTTCAAGTTATATAGGTTGGAGCTATAGGAAAAAATTGACTATCTTTCCCCTTTCCTTTCATAACTCTCTTGTACCTAATAGGAGACTGACTTGAGTCCTAGTAGCTCTGATCTTGAACTCACTGTATAACTAGTGAGGAATTGTTGTTGGTGTTCCTCAGCTTGGTCTCAGTATACTTAGGATGTGTTATCACTCTATACTTTCCTTAGTGTGTGGTCTTCAATGGATTGTGGGAGAATGTAGTGCTGTCTTAGACTGTCTTTAGTGTTTTTTTGTTTTTCAGAGAGAGCAGGAGATACGGATGGGCCAGATGGCTATGGGAGGTAAGGACTCAGGAGATTAATGGCTCTGATTTCCTTTTTTGTCTTGTCTCTGGTGAACTATGTAGCTTATTTTATGTATTCCAGATTTAAGGGATTCACATTTCTGGGAGCATCGTTTTTTGGGGTGGGGGTAACATGTCTTAGCCCAAAGGTCTTGTTGAATTGTTTCCTTTAGAACAGAAAGAGACAGATGATATCTTTCTCCTGTACTGATCACACTACTCTGCTTTAGGTGCTATGGGCATAAACAACAGAGGTGCCATGCCCCCTGCTCCTGTGCCTGCTGGTACACCAGCTCCTCCAGGACCTGCCACTATGATGCCAGATGGAACCTTGGGATTGGTAATAACTGTAGGACCTTAACAGTAACCATGAATGGTGATGGGAGGAGAAAGGACTTTGCTTCCATAGTTGCTTGGCCTGTCATGATTTTGCTACAGATAACAGTATTAGAACTACTGTTATCCAATGTAACCTCAAGGTCTTTATTTTGGACTCCTGAGTAAACGAGTCTCAAAATATACTTTATGGTTCATACAATCCTGAGGTGATTTTAGTTATTATATCAAAATGTTAAAACTGGATAGGCTTCAGGTTGCTTGAAAAGTGATGGCCTGCTTTGTCCATGTACCTAGTTCATCAAAAAGGACATAGGTAGAACTTAACCATCTTAGGAATTTAGTATGTAATATTGCTTAGCTAATAAGAATAGGGATAGCCCTAACTGGTTTGGCTAAGTGGATAGAGCGTCGGCCTGCGGACTGAAGGGTCCCAGGTTCGATTCCGGTCAGGGGCATGTGCCTTGGTTGCGGGCACATCCCTGGTGGGGAGTGTGCAGGAAGCAGCTGATCGATGTTTCTCTCTCATCAATGTCTCTGACTCTATCCTTCTCCCTTCCTCTCTGTGAAAAATCAATAAATATATATTTAAAGAATAGGGATAAAGAAGAGGAAGAATGGCCGAAACCGGTTTGGCTCAGTGGATAGAGCGTCAGCCTGTGGACTGAAGGGTCCCAGGTTCGATTCCGGTCAAGGGCATGTACCTGGGTTGCGGGCACATCCCCAGTGGGGGTTGTGCAGGAGGCGGCTGATCGATGTTTCTCTCTCATCGATGTTTCTAACTCCCTATCTCTCTCCCTTCCTCTCTGTAAAAAATCAATAAAATATATTTAAAAAAAAAAAAAAAAGAAGAAGAGGAAGAATGAATAGGGATAAAAAGTTAAAGGTGGGATGGTTGGGTGGGTCTGTAATTCAGGCAACCTTCCTTTCAGGGACATCTATCCGCTAGAGCAGCGGTTCTCAACCTGTGGGTCGTGACCCCTTTGGCAGTCGAATGACCCTTTCACAGGGGTCGCCTAAGACCATCCTGCATATCAGATATTTACATTACGATTCATAACAGTAGCAACATTACAGTTATGAAGTAGCAACAAAAATTTTATGGTTGGGTCACAACATGAGGAACTGTATTTAAAGGGCCAAAAGGTTGAGAACCACTGCGCTAGAGTCTTTTTTTTTTTTATGTATTTTGTTGTTGTTGTTGATTTCAGACAGGAAGGGAGAGAGCGATAGATACATCAGTGATGAGAGATAATCATCGATTGGCTGCCTCCTGCACACCGCACATGGGATTGAGCCCACAACCTGGGCATGTGCCCTGACTAGGAATTGAACGGTGACCTCCTGGTTCATAGGTCGACACTCAACCACTATGTACTCCAGCTGGGCTATCCGCTAGAGTTTTTTTGTTGTTGTTTTCATTGATTTCAGAGAAAAAGGGAAAGGGAGAGAGAGAGAGAAACATCAATGACGAGAGAGAATCATTGATCGTCTGCCTCCTGCACACCCCACAATGGGGATGGAGCCCCACAACCCAGGCATGTGCCTTGACAAGGAATGGAACTGTGACCTCCTGGTTCATAGGTCACTGTTCAAGCATGAGCCATGCTGGCCAGGCTCCGCTAGAGTTTTATTTATTTTTTTAAAAATATATTTTATTGATTTTTTTACAGAGAGGAAGGGAGAGGGATAGAGAGTTAGAAACATCGATGAAAGAGAAACATTGATCAGCTGCCTCCTGCACACTCCCCACTGGGGATGTGCCTGCAACCAAGGTACATGCCCTTGACCAGAATCGAGCCCAGGACCCTTGAGTCCATAGGCCGATGCTCTATCCACTGAGCCAAACTAGTTAGGGCAAGTTTTTTGTTTTTGTTTTTAATATACTTTATTGATTTTTTTACAGAGAGGAAGGGAGAGAGATAGAGAGTTAGAAACATCGATGGGAGAGAAACATCGATCAGCCGCCTCCTGCACATCTCCCACTGGGGTTGTGCCCACAACCCAGGTACATGCCCCTGACCGGAATCAAACCCGGAACCCTTCAGTCCGCAGGCTGACGCTCTATCCACTGAGCCAAACCGGCTTCAGCTAGGGCAAGTTTTAAACATGATTAGGCATCACCAGCAGGTGGAGCCCTGGCTGGTTTGGCGCAGTGGATAGAGCGTCAGCCTGTGGACTGAGCAGTCCCAGGTTCGATTCCAGCCATTGGCACATGCCTGGGTTGTGGGCTTGGTCCCCAGTGGAGAGCATGCAGGAGGCAGGCAATTGATGGTTCTCTTTCATCATTGATATTTCTATCTCTCTATCCTCCCTTCCTCTCTGAAATCAATAAAAATATACTTTAAAAAATAATTGGGTGGAAATGGCCTCCAAGGGAAGGACTACAGATGGGTGGGAAGCTTAGGACATGTTATTTTGTAATGTTTCTCTCTTTTTCTCTTTAAGACCCCACCAACTACCGAACGCTTTGGCCAAGCTGCTACAATGGAAGGAATAGGGGCAATTGGTGGAACCCCTCCTGCATTCAACCGTGCAGCTCCTGGAGCTGATTTTGCTCCAAACAAACGTCGCCGATACTAATAAAATTGCAGTGTCTAGTTTCCCAAAACCCTTAAGAGAAGGACCCTTTTTGGACTAGCCAGAATTCTACCTGGAAAAGTGTTAGGGATTCCTCCCAATAGTTAGATCTTCCCTGCCTGTACTACTCTAGGGAGTATGCTGGAGACAGAGGTCAAGGGAGGGGTGATATTTAACAAATCATTTCTGTGTGGTATATTGTTTAATTGTGTCTGTGTGGTGCATTCCTGAAGTCTCGAGATTATTGAAGGCCAGGGGTGGGGGGCGATGGCAAAGTGGATCCAGTTAGAGCCCCCATGAATCTTGATCATTCCATTCTGTTTATCCTGTTCTATTTGCATTCTCATTCTTAAATTTCCCGACCCCGGAGACACTGCCACATGTACCACAAAAACCACAAACGTCCTCCATCACTTGATTCACTCCCAGGTGGGAATTCAGGCAATGTCCGCAGAGGTCACAGATAACATGCATACATACGGTTCTGTTATACCCCATATATTATCCCTTCATATCCTAAGGAAGACATTTTTCTCTTAGAGATTTTCATTTTAGTATATCTTTAAAAAAAATCTTCTGTTAACTAGCCTCCATCTTTTTCTTGGGTAAGGACAACCCAGGAATGGCCCTTTTGTGTCTGATGTTGCTGTTCACAGCTTTTCTTGATAGGCCTAGTACAACCTTGGGAACAGGGTTGCTGTATGATGAAATGTCCAACAGTAGCTCTTAGCATTGCCTATCTTATGTAGTTATGCTGTGCTTTTTTTTTATTGGTGTACCATGTTTGATTTGTTCCTGATACCTTCGGAGTTTTTTTCTGAAAATGGAGCGGTAATGAAGCATCAACTTATTAAAATACATTTTAATCCTTTTCATTTTCTGTGCTATTTTTGGAGGGGAAGGGAGGGAGGGGTGTTCTGTCTCAAGAACTGAGCAGTAGGTTTTATCAAGTATCCATGTGGCAAACATGTCAGGGATTGGATGCATACTATGGCTGAAGTGGTTGACAAATATCTGTGCTATTGGTACACAGAAGTAATAAGGATTGGAGGAAAGCGTCTTTGAAAGAAAATGGGCTGGGGGATTGGGGTATTCTCATTAGGAGAGGTCTCAAAATTGGTATTTGTTTCTGAGCAGCTGCTAATATGTCTGAGGCTTAGAATTGACATGGTAAATCTAAAACAGTCTCAGCAGTGATTAGCTGACCTCACCCAAGTTCCAGGCCCTACTCTGCGTGATCCTTTTCTTGAGCCTCAGAGCTAAAATGCTCCTGAGCTCATTCCTATTGGCTGGGAAGACCAATTGAAGTTCCCTTGCCCATGTTAGGAGGTGTACGCCTTCTGAACTAAAGATAGACACAGCTGCCCCTTCCAGACAGCTAAAAGCTTCCAGACTAAGAGGTCTTCCCCACTCGGCAGCCAGACTCCTTGAAATACCCTTTCAGTAATTCTACCAACGCTTCCATGTCTCTACTCTGCCATAACAAAGGCTGTGGGCAGCACTTTGACCCCAATACCAATCTTCCTGGTGAGTAAGCCTGGTCTTGCCAGGGGGCTCTGGATCCTGGGGAATGGTCATCTATGGATAGTCTGCTAAAGGAGTAGAAGAAGAAATTTACTGTACCTGCCCTAGTTTAACTGGTCTGGGCAGTCTTCAATCTTGACTGGATTTTTTTTTAATATTATATGGAAAAACCAAAGCATATAGGCCTGTGGAAGAGGTAAGAAGTGACATTTGGTAGTTTCCTTTCTTGATCTTTCTACCCATATCCACAGATTCCTGTTGCCATCACACTGGGATCCCCATCTTCCATGATGCACTTAAGGTGAGGTATAAGTGAGGGGGTGATAGCAAGAACATTTCCCAAAGGAAATACACTCAGGAATCTAAGCTGAGCTGGGTCTCATTATCAGGGTTGGTCCTGCTGCCGGAAGCGAACTGTAGATTTCTCTGAGTTCTTAAACATCAAGGTAAATTCTTTACTTAGATTCTGCCCCTAATAGAAAGATTCTATCTCTAATCCTCCTCTCCTTATCTGTACTAGGGCTGTACTGTGGGACCACACTGTGCTGAGAAGCTCCCTGAAGCCCCTCAACTTGAGGGCCCTGGCACAAGCAGTTCATTTCAGGAGCAAAAACTGACTACGATTCCAAAATCAGCAGAGACTTTGCGCCGGGAGAGGCCCAAGTAAAGAGGAGGTCCCATCCCTAGCTGGTTTGGCTCAGTGGATAGAGCATCAATCTGCAGACTGAAGGGTCCTGGGTTCGATTTCAGTCAAGGGCACATGCCCAGTTTGCAGGCTGGATCCCCAATAGGGGGCGTGCAGGAGGCAGCCGATAAATGATTCTCTCTCATCATTGATGTTTATCTCTCCCTCTCCCTTCCTCTCTGAAATCAGTAAAAATATTTTAAAAAGCAGGAGGTCCCAGGGTTTTTGCTACATTCATGGAGCTTAGGGTCATTGGGGTTTGGGAGATAGGGCATAGAGATGTGAGGAGGGTCAGATGTCAGGGCTTAGTATATATTTTGTGCCATAGGGGAAATCTGTCCAGAAATAATGTCCCTTACTGTAAGGTGGTATGGGTGATAGGTATTTTGAGTTAACAGGGCAGTTAGCACCTCATGAATACATATTTATAATACAAAGGGGGAATTGGGAAGATCTTGATTTTTTTTTCTGTTTGGAAAAGATCTTTAAAATAGTTTTACATCAAGAAAAGGATGTAGTAGAATTGGCAGTAAGGAGGCTGCAGAGAAGAGTAAGTTAATTTTGCGGAAATAGAAGAAAGTCATATTAGGTCCACAATTAATTAAAAGAAGGGGAAATGGTATGTTTCTACAAAGAAATGTGAGATTTAACGCAACTGAGTAGATGAGCAAGAGAAGTCCTGGTGATTTCTCCAGGGTCAGGGATTTGGGATGTCCATAGAGAAGAAAATTGGCAATGGAGTTTCTACCCACTTTCTCCAACCCTGACCTTACTTTCACCAGACTTCTTCGATTCCATTAGAACTGGTGGGAGTGTTGGAGCTGTTGATCATGGTTAATGAGTCAGAACTAAATCATCACCCTTACCCCCTAGGTCAGAGTTGCCTCCAAAGCTGCTTCCGCTAAATATATCCCAAGCCCTGGAAATGGCATTGGAAAAGAAGGAATTAGACCAGGAATCTGGAGCAGGTAAAGTGGGTCCTTAGTTGGACAGACCTCGCAGACTGGAATTTAGTGAAAGTGGCAGTTGAGTGGATATAATGGATAGGTTCCTGACTGCCCAGCTGGTGTGGCTTAGCAGTTGAGCCATAAACCAAGAGGCTACTGGTTCAATTCCTGGTTAGGGCACATGCCCAGTTTGGGGCTCAATCCCCAGTAGGGGCATGCAGGAGGCAGCCAATCGGTGATTCTCTTTCATCGCTGATGTTCCTATCTCTCTCTTCCTCTCCTTTACTCTCTCTCTAAAACAGTGGTTCTCAACCTTCCTAATGCCGCAACCCTTTAATACAGTTCCTCATGTTGTGGTGACCCCCAACCATAAAATTATTTTCATTGCTACTTCATAACTGTAAATTTGCTACTGTTATGAATCATAATGTATTTTCATCGTTACAAATTGAACATAATTAAAGCATAGTGATTAATCATAAAAACAATATGTAATTATATATGTGTTTTCCGATGGTCTTAGGCGACCCCTGTGAAAGGGTCGTTCAATCCCCAAAGGGGTCGCGACTCACAGGTTGAGAATTGCTGCTCTAAAATCAATAAAAATGTATTTAAAAATAAAAGATAGGTTCTTGACTCTATTTCCCTCCCTTGCCCAGGACTTGACAGTAGTCTGATCCAGACTGGTTCCAGCTGCCAGAACCCAGGATGTGACACTGTGAGTGAGAGTTTATGAGGGCTCAAGCATGTGGCTGAGGGATACTATACCCAAGAGATGATTGGGTATAGATATGAAGTTGCATGGAGTACACTTTAGAATGACCTGATTCCTTTCCTTTCTCCTTGATCTGTCTTAGGTTTACCAAGGCCCTGAGAGTGATGCTACTCCATGTACTTACCACCCAGGAGCACCTCGATTTCATGAGGGGTGAGAGAGGGTACTAGGTGGGCTGTGAGAAAGGTTTCTCCCAATGTTGAACATAGATGGGAGTAGGGGCTTGTGGAATGGAAAGGGATTCAGTTGAATTATCTTCCTACCTCAGGATGAAGTCTTGGAGCTGTTGTGGCATCCAGACCCTGGATTTTGGGGCCTTCCTGGCACAGCCAGGATGCAGAGTTGGTAGACATGACTGGGGGAAGCAGGTAAGCTCCAGCTTCCCTGAACTCTTGATTAGGAGCCAATTCCAGAAATAATTTCTCTTCCCCGTACTTCATAGCAAGCTATCTCCCTTTGTATGGACCAAATAAGATTCTGCTCCTTATCCCTCAACAGTCCAGAAGCTTTGCAATCAATATAAGTTAGTGTTAATCTTCCTGAAACTCTGTCTCTTCTCCATACAAACCATGAGAACTCCTCTTGGGTTAAGCATTCATTTTTACCACTCACATTTCACATTTTTAGCTACCAGCATCTTGCCGTCATGATTGGCACCAGACAGATTCCTTAATAGTGGTGACTGTGTATGGCCAGATTCCACTTCCTGCATTCAACTGGGTGAAGGCCAGTCAAACTGAGGTAAGGAGTGTCTGATGCTGGATGGGAGGCTAGTGAATTGGGTGTTATTACAATCTTACAGGCAGTGTTGCTGTATGTAGTTAACATGTAGATTCCATAGTCCCCTGAGAGGAAGGTAATGATATTGGGTCAGGGTTATCTGACTGACCTGTGGATGTATGGATCACACCTCTGGCCTGGTTCTGTGTCATAATGATCTGTTCTGACCTTCTGGATTGTTACTACCCCTATAATTCTTTTCTCTCAGCTTCATGTCCACATTGTTTTTGATGGTAACCGTGTGTTTCAAGCACAGATGAAGCTCTGGGGGGTAAGTGAAGATAAGGGATCACAGGAGGGAGGGCAGATGGGGTGAAAAGAAGGACCAGACTGCAATGAATAGAGGGTGTCTTGAGGGGGAAGGAGTTGTAATGGGAAGAAGTGGAGGTTTTCTCTTCATTTGCTTTTATATTCTCTCCCTTCCCCTCCCTTTTTCCCCCTTCCCTATCCCCTTTCTCTTTTTTCCTCCTCTCCCTTACTATGTTGTCTTATTCCTCCATCTTTTCCCCCACCTTACATTTTTATTTTCTCCCTGTCATTTATCACCACCCCACCTTGACCCCAACCCCATTGATTTCTTCATTTTTCTCTTTTTCCTGTGTTCCTCTATCTTTCCCTCTTCCTCAGGTCATAAACGTGGAGCTGAGCTCTGTCTCCTTGATGCCGTCTCGGGTTGAAATCTCCCTGGTGAAGGCTGACCCAGGATCCTGGGCCCAGCTAGAGCACCCTGATGCACTAGCTGAGAAGGCTAAGGCAGGGATTGGGTTAGAGATGGATGAGGAAGAATCTGAGGACTCAGATGATCTGAGCTGGACAGAGGAGGAGGACGAGGAGGAAGCAATGGGGGAATAGTGACACCAAACAATCAAGTATCTAGACAGGACCTCAATAAATCTCATAGGATCTCAGAGACCAGGATATGGTTGGCCATGTGCTATTGAGCAGCAGGAGGCTGAAGGAGGGGAGAACAAAAATATCCAAACCATGCTGTTTTTTTCTCTTAAATAAATCTGTTATTCTACAGTTTCACATAGTGTTGTTCTCTCACCTCACTATCTAAGATTGTATTCATTTCCCCCAACTTCTGTGTGTTTGACACATGTGTGAAAACAAGCACATTCACATTCAATCTATTCTTCACAACTATCAGTTATTTACTGAGTACTTACTATATGCCCAGTTATGTGTTGGGTAGTTTAGAGATATTTGAGAAACAGAAGACTTATTCATTCCTCTCAGGAAAATTACAGTCTGGCTGACAAGTCCTGGATAATCGACATGAAATAATAATAAACATTATTAGGTAGTTAAACTGAGTACTAAATTGTGCAGTACAGTTTTTAAGAGCTATTGGAGTTGAGAGAATGGCGAGATTAATGTGGACTGCAGTAGAAAAGGAAGGCTCAGAATAAAACTTAATCTTTCCCTAAAAAAAAGGGAAGTCTCCATGGAAGACGTAATTTAAAAAAAAAAAAAGCTTTATTGAGATACAATTCACAGACCATACAACACCCACTTAAAGTATAAAATTCAATGTTTTTCCGAGTTGTATAACCACAATCAACTGAAAACCTTTTCATCACTCCAAAAGAAACCCTGTCTATACCCATTAGTAGTCACTCCCAATTTTCCTTCAAACTCATAGCCCTAGGCAACCACTAATCTACTTTCTGCCTCTGTGGATTTACCTATTGTGGATATTTTATGACCAGAATGAAAAAAAAAATGTGGTCTTTTGTGACAGACTTCTTTCACTTAGTATAATATATTCAAAGTTCATCCATGTTGTAATGCATATAAGCTCTTAATTTCTTTTCATGAACAAATAATATTCCACTGTGTGATTATACTACATTTTGTATATCCGTTCATCAGTTGAGGGACATTTGGGTCTTTTTCCACTTTTTGCCTATTATGAATAATGATGTTATGAGCATTCATGTAAAAGTTTTTATATAGACATAGGTTTTCGTTTTCATTTCTCTTGGATATATACCTAGGAGTGTAATTTCTGGGTCAAATGATAACTTTAATCTTTTGAGCAACTGCCAGACTATTTCCAAAGAGGCTGCATCATTTTACATTCCCACCAGCTATGTAAGAGGGTTCCAGTTTCTCTACATCCTCAATAACACTTATTTGTCTTATTTTAACCATACTAGTGGGTGTGAAGTGAAATCTAACTATGGTTTTAATTTGCATTTCACGGATGGCTAATGATGTTGAGCATCTTGTGCTTATTGGTAATTTGTGTCTCTTATTTGGAAAAACATCTGTTCATATCCTTTGACCATCTGCTAATTGGGTGATTTGTCTTTTTATTGGGTTGTAAGAGTATTAAATACAAGGTATCCCCAAAAGTATATATACACACTTTGAATAATAATAATAAAGGCAGTGTTTATTAAAATAAATTTCAGGTGTTAAAGTTTGTATACATTTTTGGGACACCTTGTGTATTTTGGAGACAAGTCTCCTGTCAGATATAAGATTTGCAAATATTTTCTCCCATTGTGTGTGTTGTCATTTCACTTCCTTAGTGGTGTCCTTTGGTACACAAAAGTTTTTAATGTTTATGAAGTCCAGTTTTTCTATTTTTCCTTTTTTTTCTTATGTTTTTGATGTCATATCCAAGAAACCATTGCCTAATCCAAGGTCACAAAGATTTTCTTCTGTGTTTTCTCCTAAGTGTTTTATAGTTTTAGCTCTTACATTGAGGTCTTCAATCCATCTTGAATGAATTTTTATATGTGGTATGAGGTAGGGGGTTCAACTTTACATTTATGCTTATGGATATCCAGTTGTCCCAGCACCATTTTTTGAAAGACTCCTCTGTCCCCATTGAATTGCTTTGATACCCTAGCTGAAAATCAATTGACCATAAATGTGAGAGTTAAGAAATATATTCTGAATGGAAATGTGAAGAATGAGAAATTTGGATGGGTATGGAAGAGAGGAAGAGCCAGGATGGGGCAAGAAGATGTTTTATTTTACTTTTTGTGTTTTAATTTTATTTCCAAAAGTAATATATTGCCACTGTAGAAAAACTCAGTACAGAAGTATGTAGAGTAAAAAGTAAATGTTCCTCTTCAGATGTTCTCCAATCTTAGTTCCTTTGCTGTTTGTAACCACAGCTAACATATAAAAAGGCATGTTTAAGGAAGGGGACAAAAAAGTTAAATGGCATCTGACTAGACTGGGAGGAGCCTAAAATTCTAGATCAAGGATTTTGAACATGATTTAAAAGAGAGTTAAAAAGACATTATAGGCTTTTCCTTTTAAAATGTAGATTCTTAATCAGAGGGCTCTTTTAAGTCTCCCTTGAGTCAAATTTACTGCCTCAACATCATGGCCAAGAATCTGGAAGATTTAAACTCCAAGAAACATCAAACTAGGAAGCTCACCAAACCTCAGATGACCTCGAGTTCTTTTCATAGCAGCCTTCCCTCTCAGTTCAGATTCAAGAAACATAGGGTCTCATTGGGAGCGAGGAGTAAGATGGGGATGGGAGAATGGACATGGGCAGCAAAGGTGAGGGATCACAGCATAGTTTGGCTTAGAATTTGGAGACTGAAGCAAGATTAGGGGATATTAAGGAATGAGTTCAGGAATACCTCACATATCAGAGATAAAGAGGTTTCCTGGACCTCCAGGATATTCAACAATTCTCACTCAGTATTCTCTCATTCTATGGATTTGAAATGCAAATAAAATTTCCCCCTCAAACTGAACCCTTCAGATCCTTTCTAACCCTGGCAGCAGTTAACTATTTTAAAAAATATTTTTATTGATTTCAGAGAGGAAGGGAAAAGGAAAGAGAGATAGAAACATCAATGATGAGAGAGAATCATTGATCGTCTGCCTCCTGCATGCCCCCCAGTGGGGATCAAGCCCACAACCTGGGCATGTGCCCTAACCAGGAATCAAACTGTGACCTCCTGGTTCATAGGTCAATGCTCAACCACTGAGCCATGCTAGTCGGGCAGCAGTTAACTTTTAATGTCATTTTTCTGTGGGAGAGTTGTCATCCATAGAGGCTTTGGTAGACATTAAAAAATATGTAGAAGTAAAAATGCATATAGAAAAATACATAAAGTGCACTAACCTTAAATGTACAACTTTTTTTCTATCTTCTTATCAAAATCAGGGGACCAGCAACTACCCAGAAATCCTGGAGAGGATGGAGGTGAGGAATCAGAAAATTCAAGTAACCCTTGTTGTATATAAACTTGATATATAAAACTTCAAATTTACAGCATTAAGAAGTAGTGTACTAAAAATAATAATAAAAAAAACTTAAAAAAATAAAAATAAAGTAGTGTACTAGCTCATTTTACATAGCCCAAAGCCTAAAATGTAAGAAATTTTCAGGCAGGTGTATAACATTAATAACAACAACAATAACCATAGCTACTATTTCTGATACAAACTAACCTACCAGGCACTGTGCTAAGTACTTTGCATGCATTATCTAATTTAATCCCCCACTTCCATGAAATATATGTATATGTGTGTGTGTATATGTGTGTGTGTGTGTGTGTGTGTGTGCACATTAGCACAAATCCTCTCCATATCTCCTTTTACACGTCTCATGTCTTCCTAATGTGCTTTGTATCCACTCCCCTCACACCTTCCCAGAAATGTTACACTATTAACTATCCTTTCTCTTTCTTGTTTATTCAACCTTTCCCTCTTGTTGGATATTTTCATTGGCATTTAAATATGATCAAGTCTCTCCAATCTTACAAAAACAATTTCCCTTGAGTTCACATCCTTCCCTAGCTACTACTTAACTCTTTTCTCTCCTTTATAACTAAACTTTTTGAAATAACTACTTTTTATGACTCCTTCTTCTTGATCCCTTCACAGCACACTTCATTCTGTCTTCCAACCCCCTCAATCTGTGTTGATAAGGTTTCCATTGGCTACAAAGTTACTAAATCCAATGGATACTTTTAGTCCTCATCTTGCTTGATCTCTCAAGTAAAATTTGACACTAATAATGGTTTCTTCCTTGAAATACATTGGCTTCTGTGACCCATCACTCCTCTTGGTTGTTCTCCTACATCTCTGGCCAGTCCTTTCAGTCTCCTTTTCAGGCTCCTCCTTTTCTACTTGGTCATTCAATTATGAAGTTCTTGAAGACTCAGTCCTAGGCCTTCTCTCTTATATATAACTCTTCCAGACACTCATTTATGCACATGATTTCAAATACCACTCATATGCATATGTCTCACACACTTTTATCTCTAGGACATATCTTTCCTTTGAGGTCCAGATCTGTGTATTATAGTACTAATAGGTAGCACATATTTGGAACAGTGTCTGGCATATAGTAAGTACTATATATGTGTTTGCTATTATTAGTACTACTTTACTACTCCTCTGTCTCTTCATCAAAAACTTTCACCTCAGCCCTAGCCGGTGTGGCTCAGTGGATAGAGCGTCGGCCTGCGGACTGAAGGGTCCCAGGTTCGATTCCGGTCAAGGGCATGTACCTTGGTTGCGGGCACATCCCCAGTAGGGAGTGTACAGGAGGCAGCTGATTGATGTTTCTAACCCTCTATCCCTCTCCCTTCCTCTCTGTAAACAATAAATAAAATATATTTTTTAAAAAAACAAAAAACTTTCACCTCAAAAAAAAGAAAGAAAGAAAACCCAAAAACTTTTACCTCAGACTATCAGGAAAGTTGGGGTGCTTTTTTCTTTGGCAGGGCACACCTCCAATATCCAATTGTATAATGTTTTGGAAAGAAAAAGGCCTTACTATCCTATATAGTGATAACATACTGGTACTCACCATAACATTGCATCAGCTTCAGGATTAATAGATGTTGTAATCACCTGCTGAGTGAGTGGAGTCTCATGAACAAAATACCACTGGGCTAGGCCCTTCTACCCACATTATTTCACTTAATCCTCACACCTGTTCTGTGAAGTAGGTATTTTCCCAATTTTTTATAGATGAGGAAACCAAGGCTCAAAAAAGGAAATAGCTTGCTTGTGGGCCCAAAGCTACTGATTAAAAC